TTTTATTTATTATTATTGTCGTGGCTGGTTGCCTTAATGTCAGTCCAAGAGCGCACGAGCGTGCATTCATCAATAATAGAGTATCAACAGCGGCGGCAAATATATACATGCAGCACAAAAACACAAGAAGTTTCTTTGCCGAGCACGGCACACGGTTCAAGGTTTATTCTCGGGCGCGCTTTAAATTTTCAACACCCGTCCTCCGAGTTGGTGCCACTCACCCCCGGCCTGCAAGTCTCAGATGGTGCGGTTCGCAATTGCAGCTGCGTGTGTTTCGCGCCCCGTGTGCCTCTAATTAAATTAAACTTGCACGAAGGGAACGCAGATTTGAAAGTTAATTTTTCATGCGCAGCCCGCTGCTCCTTTGTGAGCCTGTTTTGGAAAAATTCAACCGGCCTTTTCTACAGCTAAAATTTTATTTATAATTTAGTATAGATCTACATTACCTACAATCTAATTGAAGCAAAAAGTTATATGTAATTTAAAATTATATGTTTAATTAAAAAACATTATTTAGCAAAAAAATATTACTTAAAATGCAACTTTTTTTATAATATCATTTAAAATTTTATTAAACAACATTAAAAAGTATTTTTAATTTTTTTATTATTTTATTTTTAATGTAAATAACTAAAAATTTAATTGTTTAAGAAGGTAGCAATTAATATTGATTTGCCAAATATCATAATTTTTACATATAAAAAACTTGACCAACAATACATTTGAAACGGATAACAACTTCAATTAATTTTGGTCTTTTGGTAGTGGTAAATATTGTTTTATCAAATTAAATTATCCTTAACAGAAAAGAAGAATAGCAAAAAAAAAAAAAAAATCATATGAAATGGGTTACTCTACACCGCTCTACACGAGTCAAATCCCTCGATATCTATTCAACAATCAAGAAGTTGTGATTTACTTCTTATAAATAAGAAATTTATATATTTACATTTTGTAGTTGTGCTTTAATAAGTATGTATGTTGAATACTCATTGAGTGTATAAACTTATATTTATATATAAACTTATATTATAAACTTCAATTTGAAACAAATATCTTAAAGTTTCTGGATCTAGCTATTGATGATTTAGAAACGATGTTACACAAAATTAAGTTTTTCAATAAAAAAAGAGAAACAAATTATCCTATACTTCATTTTTTTTTTTTACCAATTCTTAAAATATCTTATGTTCAATATAAAAATTTGAAATCAGAAAATCGGGTTCATTGTTTTTGTTTTCAATTGTTGTTCTTAAATTTTAAATTTTTGATAATTACCACCAACTTCTATGCACAGAAAATAAACGTTCAAATTGGCAAGAAACTTGTTAACGCGATTATTAAAACTTATTGTCGGCACGCTCTATTAATCCATGGAAAGGTTTTGCACGGAAACTCTTTCATGTACTCACGGTAATTTGTAAATTACTAGCTCGCTTTAGAACACATACATGCTGTGTGTATACCACATTAAAACTCTTATCTTAATTAAATCGCTATTAAAGTTGCTGCCGGGTTGAATTAATAAAAAAAGTGCCGTGTCTTTCTCTCTCTCTCTCTCTGCCCGGGATGGGAACTTGTTATTTTTCCGCATAAAAGTCTCAACTTTGCACACAGACTCGTTCTGCGAGACTAATTGCGCTCTTTGTTAATGAAGACCCTTCCTTTATGTAAAATCTTTGAAATGCTCACACAGCAGAGAGAGAGCCCGTCCCGCAAAACGCGCGGCCTCTTTCATTATACCGCAACCCTTGAGAACTTTTTTTTTCGCAATTCAGAAACAACTTTCTAATTATTTCCATTTTTTATACGAGCTCTCTAGCACCCTCGACCGTGTTTCATTTTCTGCGGATTTATTGCGGCATTGGCGGGTTGAAGGGTCATTTTTATTGATCTGCATATATAAAAAAATCTAGCTCTGCCAGCTCTGGTATGAAAAGAGCAGAATTGTACATTGAATTTTTTTCAGCTGACCGAAGCAGACGGAACGTTTTTTCGACCTTACTTGAGCCTCTCTTTTTTAATATTAATAGCAAACGAGGCAAGTTTTAATAAAAATGCAAAAGATGGCCAACTTTTTTTCTCCTCTCACAGCCATTGTAAAATTTTTAAACTGCTCTCTGCATGCAACGCCGGCTCGCAATACTCTGTCTCTTCTTTAATCTGCCTCCATTGGCATGAATATTAAAACCCTCTAGTGAGAGCTAGCGACACACATTTTTGCGTCGGCACAAACACACAATGCTTTCTGCGCTGCGAAACCCCTTTGGCGAGAGAGAGCGAAATCAGAAAGCAGCCTGTTTTGTTTATTCAGCGCGTCATTGTGTTTTCAAAGACTGCAGCAACAAAAAGCCTAAAATATTGCAGCAGCGCCCGACTCTACACACACACACACACACACATTACGCAAGCGTCTCTTCTCTCCTAGGGGGAGCAGACGAAATGTATGGACCAAATAAAAAAAGTTGGGGGCCATGCGAGGATATAATCCTTAATTGAATTTATTAGCATTCAATCTTCGGGATTCCAATTGGATTATAACAAAAAGGATTAGTTCAATTTAAAAACACAACAATGCCTTTAGAAAATGAAATAATTAATTTGTTTAAATTAATAATTAGTTTTAACAGTGAAATAAACTTGATAATTGATTATAATATCAATAAAAGAATGTTCAATTGATAAAATTTAGAACCCTCCGTGACGTGTGACGTGTGATAACTCTTTAGGAATTTTTCAAGATCTTTACCTCCCCAAAATTAATTTATATATAATTTGCAATTTTTGCAACAACTTTAGAAATATAAACAAAACCTATAAAATACAGCTTAAACAAATTTATTTAATAATATATAAATACTAAAATTAAATAAAAGTTTATGTCAAATTTATTATATTTACTGAAAAAATATTTTGTTATTTATCTTTTTGTTTAAAATTTTGATGGTACAAAAAAATATTTGCTAAATTTATTATATACTTTGTAAGAAAACATTATGTTTCAAGGAATTTAAAACATTTATAAACTTCCTTCAAAGCAATAATTAAGTAGGAGCGAAGCTGTTTCGTAAATTTTATAGTGTTGGCTATATAGGCATTGAGTTTTAATATCTATGATCGCAATGAAGCAAAAATTTTCTCGGACTTGCATAAAGCCCTTTTTGTGTAAAAAGTGAGCCCCGCGCTCTACTCTGATCAGCCAATTACGTGTGCTTAATCCAATTTGCGCTTTGTGTGTGCTTTGCTTTTCTTTCACTTTGATGCCTCCGCTCTCTCTAGTCCCTTTTTGCACTTTCAAAGCCGGATAGCGAGGTCCTGGGGTCAGGAAAAACAACAACTGACACCCTTTGTAGCCGTGCGCGCTATTAATAGGGTTGAAAAATGCCCGGCCTTTCTCATTATAATCAGCTGTTCGCAAAGGCAGCGTGGCTCGGATTTCCACAGCTGTCTGCAAATCCCGTCAAGCAGGAAAATTGCGTTTTCCGGCGGGGAAAGGACGATCGTTACATCCATCAAGGTTGCTGAACTGGATGCAAAAATTGACTTTGTAATCTCACCGGGCATGGAAACTCTGTGTATTATTGTGTGGGCAATGCACTCGTCCGAGCCGCACATTCCCCGGCTATCTGCGCATGAATAATTAATGCAAATCCATAAAATCCAAAGACCAGAGTTCACGGCGCGAATCTATATTTGCTCTTTTTTCAGCCTCGCTACTGCCTCCGTTTCACATCAAAAGAAAGAGTCTCGTGTGTCTTTCTCCTTTTCGTTGCAAACACAAAGATCTTTTATAAAGGGCGATCTGGTACTCAACTCGAGATAAACTGCTGAACACACATTTTGCACGATTGCATTGTTTTCGGGACACTGTCAAAAAGGGTCTGTCCTCTCAAAGTGAAGAGTGGGCGTCTTTGAGTAAAATTTACATAGGGAAAATTTGGTTAAAATTGCAATTTGGGTTCAAATTTTGAAAACAGTGTCTTGCCTTTACTTCTATTTTTAATAAATTCCCATATCATAAGTGGGATTTTTCATTTGAGTGCATTTAATATTTTGTTGGTACATTAATTTGAAGAATATTGCATTAAAAATTTTAGTTCTTCATGACTTAAATCAGTCCAGAGAGGCAAATAACAATACATAAAAAATTTTCATAAATTTGTAGCAAATGAACTGGGATTTTCCAAGAAATTTTTCCTATGACATTTCAATTTTTGAAAACTAGTTTCATCAAATTTTATAAGACCAAAATCCAAATTTTGGAATGGGACTAAAAGACAGTGTCAGTAAATTGATTTTGACAATTCCATCCAGCCTAGCTGATTATGCTTAAAAGGAAACATGACTGAAATTTTCATAGCTTTCTTTGTTCTGCTAGAATAATTTCCACAATATTTTTTACACATTTTTAAATCATTCCTAACATGCAAAGTATGACAAAAAATTGTTGATAAATTGGATACGTCTTAAATTTTGTTCAGGTTTTTGTCCATTTAATGAATCAAATGTACAAATGTAATCAGTATTTTATGCCCTTTTTTAGTGGAATTAATTACTTACAATAAAGTGATCAGTGAAGCGTTTTTAAAGTATATTTCAACAAAGTTCCGGTTATTATTTTTCAAATGTGGAAGCACAAAAAATTATAAATATAATGTAACGATACAAAAGTATTACTTAATTATTGCAACAAAGCTATAAATATTTTTATATATTTATTATAATAAATAAAAAATAAGTAATTTTTTAAATTAAAATAATTCAAAATTGATAACTTTTTGAAGTTTATTATGAATTATTGTAATTTTATAAAGCTATAACAAATATAAAACCAATAATTTTTAAATTGAAAGTTTCTTATAATTAAAACATTTGTGTGTTTTAAATCACTTTCAAATTTGAGATGATATAAAAAATTTGAAAAGTTGGTGTATTTTGTGACGTGCCGTTTCCAGGGCTACGCAGTATATTCCCATATCCCCGAGCCAAGATCGACTCACCTGTTCGCCTACGTGGTGAGAGAGCGTTGGGGAGGACACCGGTGCGCGAGAGCACAAATCAAATCACACTGGCGAAAAAGCACGCAACGCCGGCTGATCTCTCTGTCTGTCTGACTGGACCGAGAATTCACAACGAGAGTAATTTTTGTTCGGCGGCACAGCAGCGACTGACATGTCGTCGCACCACTACCTGGCCGACCAGAAGAGAAGTCATGTCGCGCGCACGGGCCACGCAAGAGGGCGGGGGTGGTCTACGTCATGGTCACTCTCGGCGCCGAAGAATCGCAGCAGTGCTCGGCCAGCGGCGGCTCCGACACAAATGAAGCAAGGCTGGCCATAACCACACGGAAGCTCGTGTGCCGTAACCTATAATACATGCGCCTTGACGTCGGTCTCTGGCTGCCCCTCTAGCTCCTCGCTCGCTGCGCCGCCGAGCCGCAGCGCTCGATAAATTGATAAACACACGCCCGCCACCCCATCCATCTGCTATCAATGCCTCCAAGGGCGCTTCCTGTCACCCCCGACGTCTCCAATTAGTAATCTCGGGCCTAGCCTGCCTATGCCTAGTCCAAGGCCCTTCTTCTCCGTCTCTTCTTCCTAATATTGCACCCCCCACCCCTCCTTCTTTCTTTCTTTTGTCGCCACTCTCAATTAGAGGCTTATCTCATCCACCTGTTTTATGGCCGAAAGTCACCTAATTTCGCCGGTGTCCTCCCTCCCAAGTGTGCAGGATATAATATAGGGCCGCGCTGAGAGCTTTATTGTAGGTCAGCCAGCTGGTCCGTAGCACCGGAAAGTGGGACTCGTCTCGAAACAACAATACCACACCGCCGGGGTGTTTGTTAAACAAAGTCCACTGCATTCTAGTTCAGTTGAAATGAAACTCCCTGACATAGTAGTGGCATTCAAATCAAATAAAGAATATATAAATTCAAACTTCTTTTCTCGTTTGATAAGAATAAAATAGGTGTTTTGAGTTTTTTCTCTCTGGTGTTAGTTTTTGTATTGTAATTTTATTACTTGTTTCACATGAAATTTGAGTATATATGCCTTTTACCGTTTCTCCCTTTAAAATTTAGCGTGATCGTGCCCTTATTTTAGTAGATGTTTATTCTATTCTAAAGAAGAAAAATTAAAATTTGAATAAAGTTCCAGGTTTTGATAAAATTGGTCTTCTGATATGGTCATTTTTTGTTAAAGCTTAATTACTACTGTATAATTAATTCTAATAATCATTTTTTTTTCAAAATTTAAAAATTATCTAGAGAGCAAAGGCTGCGCATCCCAAAATTATGTTGGTACACGGCTGCCGTCAGAGCCATGGGGCCTTATGGCTCGGGCGGAAGACATCTTTTTTTTTGGCCAACATAATAGAGCTGATGCGTGGCCTTTGCTAGAGAGCATATTTTATTCTCTAGAATTTAGCTTTTTCTTTTCATTTTGACTTTTATAATTTGTAAAGATATTATATTTTATAAATAAAGCAAAATAAAGTACATTTTAATTAAAATTGATCAATTAAAAAGGTAATGCTGTAGGTTTTATTATTATTTAATACATTTTTTTATATTATATTATATTAAAAAATATTTTTTTTAATTGTTATGGTATTAAATTTTTAATTCAACACATTGTTTAAAATTATTTGACAATAATATATATATTATTCATTATTATTTTATAATGAGTTGCCCTCTTCCATCACAATTAAATTATATCAAGAAATGCAAATTCGTTAGAGGTTTTTGCTGGGTTTAGGAAGACTATATGAAACTATTTGATTAAACTTGACGCAACCCTTTTTAATAACATAATAGAAATGTGCTTTTTTAATTCTATCTTTTTAGTTTGAAGGTTACAAATCCATATTAAATATTTATGATTCCTGCAGCGTATTTCAAAAAATAAAAAAATATGCTGCCTATGTTGTTTAAATAAAATTAAAGTACGAAGCGTGCAATTATAGAAATTATTGAAACGATATTTTCTCATTCAGCACCTTTGTGTGAATTCAGTTCATTCATACTTTCTCTGTAAAGGATTTTGAGCTAAGAGCACTGGTGCAGCAACAGAGTCAATATAAATTCTTTTGACCCGCATTGAAATTGAATAATTTGCGTCTGTTACATCTCTAAAGCACTTTTACAAAAAAAAAAAAATATGTAACTTGCATAAAATGTTTTAATTCCACTAATGCATTCTCCGCTGTGCAAATTCATTTCAACTTGCAATCAGATTTCGCCTGAAGAGTCAAAGGAGGGTTTTTTCAAGCACCCTCAGCCGACTGTTGATGTGATATTTGCCGGTCGCTGCAAATTTCAAAAGAAAACAGTCCCGTCAGCCGTTTAACGTGCACACATACACAAACCACGCGCCTCGCTCCTCATTAAATTTCTTTATTAATGGCAGAGCCGACAGCAGCCAGGGGCGCATTTTAAAAGAAAATTGCTCCCAGCATGATGCCTTTGGGATTAAACCTTTTCCATAGAAAATAAGGGGCCTTTTTCCGCTAAATTCCAAACCTAATTAATTATAAAATGTTGCCAAGCAATTAAGACGAGTTAGTTTTTAATTTAAAGGATGCAAAATCTAATTAGCAAAAAAAATCTAATTGTGACATAAGGGCATAGCAGTGAATATTAAGTTTTTTATTTAAATTCTTCTCCAGTGAAATAAAATTTATTGTTTTTTATATCATTCTAATTTGAATTTGTGACACAGGTTTTATTGAATGTATTTTTGATTATGTCAGAAAAAAACACAAACAAGTATTGAAAAGTCCTAACAAAAAAAATTTAAATAGAAATAGTAAAACCATTAAATAAATTTTTTTTAATAAAATAAATAAATAGGGATGACCTAAATTGTTAATTAATTTGTAAAAAATAAGCAGTAGATCACAGTGTCTGAATGAAATTTTGAAAGATTTGAGAGATAAAAAAATCGATCAGATATTTCCATTTCTAGCGCTCAAATGTTCATCTTCATTTTTAAAGATATATTTCCGTTTCAATCTCTTTTAGCAACAGTATAAAAATTACATTTCAATAGGTAAACACGAATGTTGAACCAATTTGGCCGTCTTCCATATTATCTCTGTTGAATTTCCGAACCCTTTCATTTTCTTTCTTTCAGTGGAAGAAGAATTCGCCCTTGAGATTATCGTAGCGGAACTCTTCCTTCTTTCAGAGACATACATCATGTTGGCCACTAAATATTGCACGTCGAGGCGAGAGTTCTGGTGTATGTTTTGTCTTATTAATTGCTACCATCAGCCCAGCGCGCTTTTGGCTCGCCTCCAGAAATTGAAGTGCTTCTAGCCGCGCGCGGTACACAACCAGTGTTTTGCCATTGTTGCCGCGCGCAAATCAATTCTGTTTGAACAAGAACCGTATTTTAGTAGTGCTACTTGTTCTACGCAGTGTTTAATCAGTCGGAGCAAATTGCGTCTGAAATTGTCTGTCGAACAACGTGAATGCATGTTTTCCGTGTTCAAATAACGACCCTGCTGATTGTGGCAAACATTGCTGGGTTGATTTGAAAAATTTATTTAAATATTTTTATTTTGTTAAATACCTTATTTCGAAAATTGGATTGTTATATGATCTGAAAATATCTGTTCAATTATAAGGCACTTTTCTAGGAATTATCAAAGAATTAAAATTTCTAATTTGTCTTTTAAATTCTGAACTTGTCCTTACTGGTATTTGTCAATATCGTTCTAAAGTTGAAATTATAACAACTTCCCTGACTTGTATCATTTGCAAAAATTGATACTTGTGGACTGGGCTGATTTTTCTCAAACTTAAAGTTAAAATTACTTGATTTCAGCGGCGATTATTCATTTAATTAATTTTTATTTTTAAACAATTTTCTAAAAAAAAAATATGAAAAAAAGATGAAGCTTCGCGATGTAATAATTGTTTCAAGTATTTAACTTTTAAATTCTTCCAGTGATTTCGATGGAAAAAAAATTCTGCTTTTGTGTGTAATTTAATCACTTTTTGGGTGAATTCAGATAAACGGATAATCGATGATCTTTTTAGCAACAGGCGAAGCTTTGCAGATTGTTTTTTGACAAAAGAGAAAAAGGAGACAAATTGTTTTGCTGTTGAGCGAATCTCATTTTTCAAAGCTTCGTCGGCAGTGTTGTTTGTGTCGCGCTCGCATCAATTTTCCTCCCTTTTTCACTCGTTCTCCGGCGCGGCGTGCAGTTAATTTGTGATTGGTGTCGAAGCTCCGTGCAGACTTCTTGAGTTTCGCCCCAAATCCGGGGTGTCATTTATCACGGGGTGTGATTGATGGCGGCTTCAAAAAATATTTTTAGCCGGTCGAGAGTGATGGTTGTGCGTAGTCGGCGTGGCAGGCCAAGTAATAATGGATTCGCTCTCGTGCACTCTCAATGGCAATGCAGCCGGAAAAAATATGCAAAACGCGTTTTTCCACCATCATTATTTTGTATGTGAGTATTTCGAGTTGTTTGCGCGGCATTTGCAGCGCATTTCCACTCGCGAGAAAGATGTCTAATATTTATACCAAAGTGCTGCTCGACGACGAGCACAATCTCCGCATGACGTCCTATGCATAATTTATCCGCCGGATATTCAAATTTCGTTCTCGTCGTTTGATATTTAGGAAATAATATCTCCTCACAGAGGGGAACGACCCAAATTTTTGACAGCAAATTTGGATTTAAATAAGTGTTAAAATTTGAAGCAAAACTCCGTGTTCGGTACATGCAATGGTATTTTAATTTATTAAAACTTATGCAACCTGCGAAACATTGAGAAGAACTAATTACAAGTGGAAGCCATTCTGATAATAGATCAATTAGTTTTGTTTATTTATTTGATATAAACCTCATGCAGGTCTTTTTAAGGTTTGATTTTTCTCAAAAGATAATAATTTTTTAGGGATGTTTACAAAGAGTCAGATTATTCTGAAACAAAATAATTGAAATTAATATTTGACTTACAAAAAGAGTCTTCAATAGTTGGCTATTTTGGTCGAGACCAATAATTTTTTTAACATAATAATTTCATGCTAGCTATTACATTCGGATGCAAATTTCTAAATTCTGCATGAAATTTGACATATTTTCACAAAAATATGACTCGAATTAAGAGTAAGAAAAATCACAAAATTATAGCTTTCGTTTTATAATTTTAAATGTTCCAGTAGAATAACAAAATTAAACAATATTAAATAGGAAATAATGGACTTTTATTTTAAATGAATTATCATTATTTAAAATATTCATAAACTGGATGAATTTTAGAATTTCGCAAAATTTTATTGCTGGTTTGA